CGGTCAACGGCCTTGCGGTTTGAAATGATACAAGTTGTTTCCTGTAGATGTTGAACTCGTTTCTCTTGACTGAATCTGATGATGGTGTATTGTAGACCCCGTGGAGTCAAGTGGCGGCTGTAACGAGGGATATTATAAATTCATGTAATGGTGGTCCCGGACTCCCGGCACCGTGTTCTCGGGGGGAACTGGTGGGTTACGCTCCTGGTGGAGACTCATTGTTGATATGCTATAACATCCGAAACTCTTGTTTTCCTTCTCTCGGGTGTGTATGTTATGGGAGAGGTTTGCGCGTCCCTCTGATTAATCCCCGGAGAGATAGTAGGTTATAAGTAGACAGTTTCGACAGGAAACCTACCGCGGCGAGGCTTAGCGCCACGTCTTTTCAAAATTTATAGTTGCTTTGGCGGACTAGATTGATCTTTGGTGTCTTGTGTTGCAATTGGCATGTAATTTTGGTGTTGATTCTGGATGAGGGTTCGTTTCACTTTTGTTTGGCCGGGTGGTGACTGCCCGGAACGACATCGCCGGTGAGTTGGCGATGGATGGCGGCCCAGAGTGTAGTTCTGATGATATGCATATTTGATGGATAAGAGAAACACCGTGGTGGACGGCACATACGTTATCGATGGTTACTGCATTGCCTCAACAAGCCTCTCTGACGGTACAAGCATCATCATCGATGATGCCTTCAAGCACCAGGCACACTTGACAGGAACCTTGCCTCCCGCACGCCCCGTGATAATAGCGTCTGACAGGTGGACAGCCTCTTTGGTTGCGGGGGAAATACAATAGCCTTGCTTATATTCCCTCTTGTCGCCGGGGAAGAAGACAAGGTTGTAAAGCAGTTAGTGGTGGATTAATACAGCCTATGCTAATCGAGGTCGTGATGAGAACCATGTTTGACCCGGACATTCTGTATACAATCTGTGCAAAAGTTGTATTTACGCAGCCGTTTCAAAGCTGGGATACCGGGCGGACACACCCTCATCGTTGGACATATAATACTTTCCAGACGAATGAAGTCGATGCCGGCCAGATACGGCGACAACGCCCGATAAATCGATCACAGTAGCAGACCGATCCAGTCATCAGTGATCACAATTGTCATGGGCTCCACCAGAGCCATCGTTGGATCAGAGGTCGGGCGTGATGATTTTCACGGAAGTCAAAACCAGCCGAAGCGTCGTCCTCTGTAAGTATCACAAGCTATTCACAAGACGCAACTCAAATCCGAAGGGCATCGTGGAGAGGGCCTTCCCACCTTCCTGCCTCCCCACGAACATCCTCCAGTGGAGTCAAGACCCTGGATGATGGCTAAAATCTGCATGACATTGCAGTATTGTAAAGACGCTTTCGCGAAACGGGCATCCCGAAGTGGATCTTCCCTGGCAACACCCACGATAAATGCGCTACTTTCGGCGCTTGTTGCGGACAGGATTCTTGCCAAATGAATGAAACCAGGTGATGATGTATTCTCACAAGTAAAAATGGAGGCCTGGCGTAATAAACGGTGGTTTCGTGGATCCACTTCAAAGGCATGTTGTTGGTTCCCTTCAGCCGAGTTTGATGGAGTCGTGATGTATGTATGAATGTATATGTGCACAGGCATCGAGTAGTCATGATGGTTCATCTAGTAAGTTTTGGAGGGGTCGTATGATGTGCAATGACAAAGAGTCAAGTTACTGCCATGCATGCTGCCTTTACAGTCGTCCTATGAGATAGCTCGTTAGCCGGAGGTTTTATGAATTTTCAAAATATTTTTGCAAGAGACCAAACAAAACTAGGCAATCGCAGTATTGAAGAGAATCCTTTTCTTTCTTAATCGCTAATGCAATTGTTTATGAGCCTCCCGATGGATCTGATGTACCGTCATAGTTGTTGTACCAGCCCAGTCTTTGTTCTTGTTGGCATGGAAAACATCCGGCGTCTCCGGGGACAAATTCTTGCAGTAAGCAGGCTGCGCAATGAAGAATCGTGGCCCGTTTTACGGCGTAGATCGATGGCATCGTGAAAAGGTGAAATTGCCTGTTTGGTTCTGGGACTTGGGTGATGGTCCATACGTCATGCTTGGTGCACGCCCCCTTGGAGACATCAACATGGCCAAATATCCGCGATTGTCCCCATGGGTCTTTTCTGGAGAATGGGACGTGGATAGTCTGGGGTCACTGCCGTAAAACCGCTCGAGCAGTTTGTTGTTCCTTTCCCACACTATTATCTGTTTAAAAAATCGGCGAAAACAGCAAACTGGCTCTCTCATCTTTTTGCGTTCGTTCCGTCAGCGATCGCGGGGCTTCGTTGATACTCCAATGGGTGCACCATTTTGACCTTGGATGACTTCCCGTCCCTTGCGACGTCATTATCCGCCCATCCCTTTCGCCAGCCCCTGTCAATCTCGTACATGGAGGCCCACTGGTGGTAGCACCAGGACCGATAACTGGGTTGCTGGGCTGCTTGGTCAAAGTCCCCCCCTCCCCCACCATCGTCAATGCTGCGGACTTCGATGATCTTCTCTCTATGGCGTGAATCTGTGGAAATGTGGAAAGTCAAACATGCTGATGCTCCATTTTCGATACCCAGACTTGTAATCGAACAACGTGTCCACGGAAACGCGTCGCTACCGTGCTAAAAGTTTCGTTCTAGACTCAGCTCCAACGTTTGGCCATCCAGGCACAATAGCTGGCAGAATGAGTTAATTTCATCCTTGAAGGTGGCATCGAGAACACAAGGGTTCTGAATGTGGCACAACGTTGTTTGACGTTACTACAGAGCCAATGACGGGCGGCCACAAATACACCCACTGTAGAAGGGAGCGAAGAGAAGTAACATGGCTTTGTCCAGTGCTACTGGCACTCTGAATGCGATGAGACAAGCAGCAAATTGCCAGTTCACCGTGATGTGCTCGCGCCTGTCCGGCGTAGTCGGATACAACGCACCAGCAGCGTTCCTTTGGACTGGACGGCACGGGTGGTGACGAATGCGCTGACTGGGTCGACCAGGCTCTGCAGGGGCTGGTTCAAGTGCTGGCGTGAGTTAGCTTAGGGAACAACACCATTCTGGTGCAGCGCTCTCAGTGGCTGGCAGAGACATGATTTATCTCTAGCTTCTGACGTGAAAGTCAAGTGAGGCTGCGATGGCGGCAATTTTGGTGGTCTGGTGGTGGTAACGGTGTGGTGGGACGTGGCCATTGGGTTGACGACCTCAACATTCGTCTGGCTTGCGTGCCTCTGGTTGGCTGGGCTCGAGTTAGGAGATGCAGGTTATCAACAATGAATCGATGTGGCTTGGCGGCGTCTACTCGGCCGCTAAAGACATCTGGAGCCCTGGCACACGTTATGCCTTGACGGCTGGTGCGCGAAACGGAGCCTGGCCGGAGAGGCAGCGTCTCGGTGCCCTGAATCGAAATCGATCAATTGACCCTGATAGGCGCAGCTAGGCCCTGATGCCCTCAACTGATAGGCCGCTGATAGGCCACTCCTAGGTCCGTGATCCTCCGTACTCCAGATGTCCCGTACTCAAGTCGATGATGGCGTGTGGCCTACGGACGATATTGCAGCGCTTGTAGTGAAACAGCGCATCGATCCCTGTAAAAGCCTCGTTGCAGCTCGGCCTTTTGCGGCGGGACCGAGGACATGGATGGCCGTGAAGCCTGTATTCACGTCTTCTGGACTCAGCCAAACATTGTCTTGCTTGCATCATGGCCAGGTAAGCATGACAATTCGTGGCTGTCTGTTCCCGCGCTTGGCTCGACTGGATACAAATTGGTCATGGATTCCTGCAAGCGCCCGCTGTAATTTTTTTTTTCTTTTTTGCAAATTCTCAGTAGCCAGTCCATCAGCCATGAAAGTCGAGATGCGTCTGCGCCAAAGACATGTGCTGTCAGGCAGGTGTCAAGAATGTCACGATGCCTTCTGACGAGGCAAACGTTGAAGTGGGAGGCATGTGCACATGTTCAGGCTGGTGGTTGTCCGTTCCTTGCCGTTTCAGTGCTGGCCTTGGCTGCATTCCCCACCGTTGCGCCACCCAGACCACCCAAACCACTTCCTGTAGTCTGGGACTGTGGCCCGTAATGCATTGTAGCAGACAATGCCAGCCAACTGGCTCAGTTGCCCAGCACTTTAATGTTGTTGCATGTGGTGACTGCCTCTCAAGCTGGCAACCGCCCCACCAGCCCCACCAGCTCCGTTCTGGCAGCGCCCCTTCCCAACATTGCTCCACCGCGTATCTGCTAGGCTGGGTGCCTTGGTCGTTACATCACACCAGACACATTCAATTTTGGAGGACAGGCTGAGCATCATTTGATTGCAGCAATTGTTTGCACAGAGGCCACTTGACAGGACAAATGAAGCCGGCCGGCCGCTTGCAGATGGTGCAGTTTCCACCATTACAAGCACATGTGCACAACCACGGACATTCATGGTGCCAAATGCAAGTTCTCGACATCCCAAGCACTGCCCGGCACCAGCGCCACCCGCTTCTGTAATATCGTCATCACTTGTCATCCATTTGGCATTGCCCCTCGCTCCTGCCCTTGTTCCTCACCACACGCCCCTTGCCCCACCATGCCTCAATGTCCTCAAGTCACTTTCACGTCTCCATCCGGAGCGCACTTGGCCGTATTGTCGTTTGGTGTATTGCAAACTTACAACCGTTCCGTCATTACCCTTTGATGTCAATTCGCCTCGCCTCGTCACTTTCCTCACTTTATATAAACCCTGGTAGACCCCCTCATCTTCCGTCTAGCTTTCCCTCTCCATTTCCAGTTAACTCAGTTCCATCCAAGACGGTCACCGTTTTTGGCCTTTTCTCTCAATTACATACCCGACTTTCGCACTCGCTACAACAGCCACCAGCCCACCTGTATTTGTTGAGCTGTTTGATCGTGCGGCTACCTCCTCTCAATCCAGCACTTTTTAGACACCTCCGCCAGCAAAATATCCCTGGCCGCTTTCTTTTGTTTTTTAGATTCAAAAACCACATAGATCAACTTATTCTTCACTATGGCTGTCGGTGGTCTCAAGAAGAAGGCTGTCCATTTTGGAGCGGGCAATATCGGTATGTCGTCTTCGTCGGTGCAGTGCCAGTCCCCACCTGCACGCACCCCGCGCTTGCGTTATCCCGGCTCTGTCGATATGCCAGGAATCGAGTAGCCTCTGCGTCCCCCGGCTTTGCCCGGTGACTACCAGGCCGCAGACCAGTGTTTGCTGAAGCCGTATGGAAGCTCTCTGGCTGTTTAGCAGCCCAAAGCTAGTATTGCATAACACAAAGATTTGCTGAAAAGAACTGCATCGCTAACATATTCCATTCCAGGCCGTGGTTTCGTTGCCTGCTTTCTCCATAATTCTGGCTACGAGGTTGTCTTTGCCGATGTCGTCGACTCTCTCATTGACAAGATCAACTCCTCGCCCTCATACAAGGTCATTGAAGTTGGCTCAGAAGGCACTACTGAAAACACCATCACCAACTACCGCGCCATCAACTCCAAGACGCATGAAGAGGACTTGATCAACGAGATTGCCACCGCTGAGGTTGTCACCTGCTCTGTTGGCCCCAATATTCTCAAGTTTATTGCTCCCGTCATTGCCAAGGGCATCGACCGCCGCTCCAACGACGATGCTCCCCTGCATGTTATTGCATGCGAAAACGCTATTGGTGCTACCGACACTCTCGCCAAGCATATCAAAGACCCGCGAAACACTGCACCTGAGCGTCTTGAGGACCACCATCTCCGAGCGCGCTATGCCAATTCTGCTATAGACAGAATTGTGCCTGCTCAGGACCCCAATGCTGGCCTCGATGTCACTCTTGAGAAGTTCTTTGAGTGGGTAGTCGACAAGACTCCATTCCAAGACGTTGGTATTCCCTCTATTGAGGGCATCAACTGGGTTGACAACCTAGCCCCTTTCATTGAGCGCAAGCTATACACTGTCAACACAGGACACGCCACTGCCGCCTACCACGGGTACAACCGAAGAAAGCGCACTGTGTACGATGCCTTGCAAGATAGAGCCATCATGGCTGAGGTACGTGGAGCGCTGATGGAGACCAAGAACCTCATTGTCTCCAAGCACGAGTTTGAGGAGGATGATCAAGCTGCCTACGTCGAAAAGATTATCAAACGTATCGGCAACCCTCACTTGGAAGATGCCGTCGAGCGCGTGGGCCGTGCTCCTCTGCGTAAACTTTCTCGCAAGGAGCGCTTCATTGGCCCTGCCGCCGAGCTTGCTGAGGCTGACCAGCCCATCAAATACCTTCTCGATGCTATCGAGATGTGCTTCCGCTTCCAGAACGTCGAGGAAGATGAAGAATCCAAGGAGCTCGCCAAGATCATGTCCGAGAGCAGCCCCGAAGAGGTTGTGAGCAAGGTGTGCGGCATTCAGTCCAGTGACAAGATTCACCGGTCACTGGTTGCCATTGTTCAGCGTGTCCAGGACGATAGTCGTGAAGATTGACTGGAGCGCCGAGACGGGGCTCCCGACTCTACTGAAAACCGACGCCGTGGCGCAAAAATTTGATCTGATGAGCGCAGATGACGAGACATGATTTCGAATGATACCTAGCCACGTTGCTATTGAACCTTGATTTTCTGAAATTTTTATCTATCGCCAATGAGCATGGCGCTTGGGCGGGTATTGGAGTTTACGAGCTGGGCTGATCTTGGCTTTGATTCAAGAGTCCATGCTGGGGTTGAGACGCGGCTACTTTCGGCTCGCATATATAGATTGATTCAAATGAAAACATACGGAAGCATTTCATCCACCCTGATTTGTGCAATGTTGTGAATGATTCCGTGTCCATGATGACTGCTTTGGCTACTTTGGGCCACCTGCTTTGTCTCTTAGGTAAGTGGCTCCTGCTCAACACCAAACGACCAACTAACCTCGCCACCCTCTCGATCGGCACCAGGCCACTACCAGTTAATGCTGATGCGAAACGGCCCCTATACGGCAGTCGCAAGGTGACATTCTCGGGGCAAGACTTGGTAGTCGAACCACTCTTTCCCGCTGGCAACTTTCTCATCATGAGAGGTGATGAGCCGAAAGTTGGCCTGGCTTCAGGAAGGTTAAAAGGCTGAGCATGTCTTCCTGAATGCCATTGAAACCTGCCTGCCAAGAACTCAGATTCCACGACGAGGAAGTCAAAAGATTGAAGTCCAAACAATACCGCTCAAGAAAAAAAAAACGACAAAACTTCCTGAGCAGGTTGCTCAAGTCTTCGCTTCTCATCAATTGTCACCCGTTCGCCCTGCATTGCAAAATGAAGGGTCTTCTTATCCTCGGCCTGTTGCCAATTACACCTCTTGTCTTCGGCCAGATCACAGTTTCAGTCAGCAATGTCGAGCCACTTCCACTCAAGTCAGCCAGTGTCGTAACCTCGGCAGATGAGCTTTTTCGACAAAGCTGCCCGGAAGAAGTAACGAATAGCAATCCCTACACGCCCAATCTGCTATTATCGTCTTACTCGGAGTTTGAGGAGTCCGGCAAGAAGGTCTTCCGCGGAAACGTATACCCGTCCTCTGACAGTTTTGTTCGCGGTGCGATAGTGGCCTGGGCGCAACATCAAAGCCTGGTCCTTCGTCCTGATGTAATCTGGTTCGAAATTCTGGCCCAACTCAACTTTTACATGACAGAACATGCCGAAGAAATTCGCCACTTGTTTGTAAACTTCCAAGGCAAGAAGGAAATTGTTGTGAAGGAAACTTCTTGGACCAACGTTATTGCTGCGTTTGCGACCGAGATCCAAAAACGTGTCAAAACAAATTGGCTGCTGGGCTGGGTTGCTCCTGGGTTCAGTACCAGTACGCGAAATGATAACATGACGGCCACCGTGTTGATGATGGGCCTTATGCAGCACTACTTCGAGTTCACTGGAGCGGTCATCTGCGGAATCCCTTCTGTTACCTTGCTTGGGACCAAACTCGACTGGGTTCAACTATACAAGAAATTGGATCGCCTGGCAGACTTTGGGGCCGAGCCAGCGCAGTTTGCCCATAATCTGAAGCCTATTCTCAGCCGATTCGTGCAGACATGGGACGAGCCAAACAGCCCGGCGGTCAAATCGTTCTGGAACCAGATTGTACGGGCTAACAAAGTATTTCTCTGCGGTGCCGGGCCAACGGAATTCGATATTTCTGGCTGGATCACGGGATTCATGCATTGGCGAGAAGATGGCACACTTGTTGCACCTAACGGGACTCGACCACAGCCAGACGACGTGCGATTTGACGGTGTAGCATACACTCGCGTGGATATTGACCACATCCCTGTCGGATATGCCAAAGCGCCGCTCAAAATGCTCGACTACCCAAACCGAGGGAAAGACACACAGGCGTATGTGCTGGCAGGAAACATCGGAATCAAAAGAACTATATCCAATCCCACAGGCAAGGGTGCCAAACCCCAAGTGTTGGCCGAGCCCATGAATTCGTGGTTCTTGTATGGACCTGTCGATGCGAATTTCACGACGGGGCCGGAATACGGAAATTTTTCGGAGGTTAAGAGCACTGCAACGAGTCTAAGAGACTGGTGCCCGGCGGCATATGCTAGACGATACTAATAATTGGGGGACTACGAACATGATGTGCTTGAGTCTGGCGGTGAGGCTTGAAACACCTGCATGTTGTTGACTTGTAGGAACAACTTGGTAGTATCTAATACTGGCGGTGGTGATGATGTCACCTGTCCGGAAAATAAAAGTACGCAGATTGGAGCAGAAGTGAGGTAAACAGATGGTGCAAAAAATAATTGGAGGTGAATAAAAGTTATTTCGAATGAGCTGGTGCAATCGATGTCAAAATGTGTTACAAGTAATTACACAGACTATCAAGCGGTCTGGACTCACATGCAAGTGCACCAAATGTACTCCGTAGTACTACACCGTACACATGATCCTTGCCAAACCAGGACCGCCTGCACAAGACACATGGAGGCACGCGCATAGTGGGGGTTTGGACCACTCGAGCTCAACCTCCAAACAAACATTTTGCCCATGCAGACGACATAGCACTTGAACCTACTCCAGCACTTCGGCCGTCTGATTTTCTTTTCCCCTTTATCTTGCCAAAAGGCTAAGAAACGGTTGCAACATGCATCAAAGTTGATCCAGTGGGCTGCGTACGATTGCTACTTCTGGCAATGCCACCATGTCCACTGTCCAGTCTCGCACGCGCTCTCGCGTGACCTCGACGAAATCGACGACGAAGACGGGCCCTCTCGCGAGTTCTTCAAATTCAGCGCATGCATATGGAACCGGTCTTCCAGTCTTGTCCGTGCTGTTCACGAATTTGAGACTGCTGGATCTGGATACCTTGCCGGACTGGCCAGATGTTAGTCTCGATACGTTTGCCGGGACAGGAGTGCAATGGCAGAAGAGGAGGGTGCATTGTGTCGAGTGGATTTTGGTGAGGTTATTCGAACTTTGGGATGCGGAGGAGGCCTGTGCAGTAAGTTCCCTGGGCTAATCATGCTGCTCGAGTCTGTGTGCCTAACGACCATTGTATGCAGAAATTCAAACCCTTCTTTCCTCCTGCTGACCAAATACAATCCGTCAATCTACGCTCCGCACTCCTCCGAGGCCTCGAAACCGCTAAAAAGAATGGCGTGCTCGGCCGCGACACTATTATTCGAAAGACCATGCTCGACGACTGCAAAGGCGAACGGCTCGAAGAAGTTCTGGCCTACTTTTCTACGGCTGTGCTCAAGAAAGTCCTCGAGGAGAATATACAGGCGTCCGGTACACATCCGCCAGTTGCTGTCAATTTGGCATTTGAAAATAGAGGGTATGATGGCGACAATGGCGAGTTGAATGTCCTGATACTAGCTTATAAAGCCTCACTATGCCGGTTTCTGCACCAGAAAAATGATACTAGGGACATGTTTCGCGACTTTGAAGGCCTGCTGGGCGTCAAAGAGAGGGGTGTTGTGCGAAGAATGGAGGCAATTCGGGCCAAGGAAGCTGACCCCAATCGGGATACGTTGTCCAACAATGCGAGGGAGGAGATGAGGCGTTTAGTTCGAAACAACTGGTCTGGAAATGAGAATTGGATGCAGACTTTGATTTATGGTGATTCTGATGATAAGGGGACTGGTTTACTGGCTATGCCGTTTAAGAAAGTCTGGCGAGGAGTTCAACAGCAGCGCTTGGCGGAATTTGAGGAGCATTCAGGTGGATTGTTGGAACAGCTGGATAAGAGGGTGTGGGCTCAAAGAGAACGGCTAGCGAGGTGGGATACGTTTCGAAAGGAGACGTTTGGCCAGTTTACCCAAGGACCCGTATCTCCAATGAAGCAGCGAGCTGTCGAGAAGAGACCCAACAAGGGTATTGACTTTAAATTTTCTGCACATACTGAGCTGCAAGTAGGATGGAGCACCAATATTGGCAAGAACCCGACACTTGCACCGGAATATGAAGATTTGGTGGAGGGATTACAAGGAGAGCTGTCTCGTATCAAAGACGTGGATTCCAACATCCCTGACTTTGTACGCAGAAGGAACTCTGGACAGCGATTCAGGGCGTCATTTGGACACTCCTCAGATGCCGCTGAGACTGTTTCTGAGATCAGTGAACTGGAAGACGAGCCATATGAACGACTACCAGCATCTTTTCCTGTTCGGACCAACCGCACGAAACTAGAGAGCCTGCGACGACACCCAGTTAAACCGCAAATAATACACTCCGAAGTCTTCAACCAGTCCACCTCGACGGCAAGCTCAGCTTCACCACCCCATGAAGGGTCTCCCCAAAACCAACAAATCTCCCTGCCCCGAGTCGAAGACTTCGACGAGATCGAACCGCCCCCATCACCAACCCAAACTAGAGCCGACCACATCCTCTCATCTTTGGACAACGCATCCCCGTCCCCCACAAGCCGTATCAAGCAGCGGCCAACTCTGTCCCTTGCACAACGCACCCGTCTTTCCATGGCAGGAAACCACTCTCCCTTTCTCGAAGAAGAAACCGAACTGCCGTTCCGACCACCGATTAACAACAAATATGGTCCCACCCCTCCCTCCGAACCAGAGTCTAAACCGGTGGATAATGAGCCCATGGATCTAGTTAGCAGGACGAGGCTTAGCATGGCTGGCTTTGAAAAGGCGCAGAAGAAAGCCCAGCTTGAAAGGAGGAACAGCCTGCGGAAGAACAAGGTTTTGCCGAGAAAGGAGGGCAGCTGCTTCCCAAAGGTGGAGGAGGAGGAGGAGGAAAAAGGGAGGGCAGAGTTGACGGAGGAGTTGATGCTAGAAGAGGATATGGAAGCGGTGTTCAAGTCGAGGCCGAGGATCAAGGCTAGTCCATTGGCGAGTCCGAGTAAGGAATGGGAAGAGGAATGAGTTTTTGATAGACGGCGTAATAAATTTCTTTCCCGCAACTGCTGCATGTCAGTGAGCATCATGCCGAAATTGTCGTGGATGGCGCGTAATGTGGCTCGAATTAAGAGACGTTGAGCTTTCATTTC